CGTGGATTATCGCGCGTCGCTACCACGCAGACTATGGCGTACAACAGCGCTCGGTGGCATAGATCGCCATTGTGGCTTCTTTTTCAGGCAGTGAAAAAAAATCATACGTAGGGACGTTTTCTACAAGACCCATCATAGGTAGGGACGTTTTCGCCAATTACCCTTTTATTTATATTCATAGTTCATCCTTAGCTGAATTTGAATATTCTGTTTCAAATTTGGTAGACTCAAGATCGGCTGAGGCAACTTTAACAGACCGATTTCATTTTTTCTGAATAAAGTCAATAATATCCTCCTTTGTTTGCTTCCCTTCATACTGCTTCAAGTCACCATTTGTAGATCTGAAGTACATATTAGGGTATCCTTTAACTTCGAAGGTGCCAACAAACACGTAAGTATTACCTCGGGATCCTCGTCAGGATCAAGTACATTGACTAAACAGTATAAAGAAACCGAATCAAAAGAATGTACTCAGATTGATCATAAGAATCCTAACATGAAACTACACCGAAGAATGGAAATGCTAAGTTCGTTTCCTACTTGTAAGAACTAAATAATTGAAGGTGAAATGTCTTTGGAAGGTAAGCAAGTACGCAAAGATAAAAGAATATATGCACTTTTACATACAGATGAATTCGGAGGAAACATATCAGAAAAAAAGTACTCTAACAAATGTTGCTTCAAGCGAAGAGAAGGCAGAAGCTATGGAGACGCTACTTGAACTTTGTGAGCAACTATTGAAACGAGGAAGGCTCGAGGAACTAGCTGGCGTGCTAAAACCATTCGGGGAAGAAGTTGTATCTTCGAGAGAAAAAAGTGTTGTGGGATTTTATTTTTTTTGAGAAGAAAATGGAACTTCACCATCATATTTGGTATCCATGTATGATTATCGTATAACTGGTCCTCCAATAAACACAATATTCCATGAGAAATGTAGAAAAAAAAGTACTAAAAGGTAAGGGAAGTTAACAACCTCAACACGAGTTGCCAAGACTAAAAGATATTGAATAGCTCCAATAAACACACAAGGCTTGGCTTTTACCATACCAACAACAAAAATAGCTTGTTCCTCCCCGCTATATTCAGGACAATGACCATCCCTCACGGGGGTGAGTGGGATAAGGATGACCGGCGTATCTAGAAGCTTCCAAGGATTCTTCGAGGTCGAGCTGGGTGGCCATTTCCCTGCCAATGCGGTCACTGACGACAATTCCAGCATTGGCGACGTTACAAATCAATATTTCATTTTTCCAAGCCATCACAAATCAATTGATTCGATCTTTATTACTTGAAAATCCCTAGATTTAGTAATTCTGTAGAGGAAATACCTCAAGGGCTCGAAATTTGAGGATAATATTAAAGCCCTAGAGCGGACGGATAGAATTTATAGCAGTGCACAATTAAATAGGTAAAATAAGTGAAATTTTGGACATTTTTCCCTCAAACAGCAATCTAGTTGACAAAAGGATTGATGAATATTCAAGACAAGGTGAAGGTGGGACTTTTGGGAGTTTTGGGGATTTTGGGGGTTTATGACGTATTAATTACGGGATTAAGGAGTTTAATAAGTTTTAAGGTTATTATTCTAATTTTTTATTTTTGAAGGGTAAGGAGCCTAATTTCCTCAAATATGATTACCCTTCATATAATTTTGTATTATTTGGTAAAATAATACAAGATCTTCCGGAGCCTTCAACGATATTCGATATACCTGATATCGTGTTAACATTATTTTCTGTTAATGTTAAGTCCAAAAAATATTTTTTTGTCTTGAAAATAGTATGTATAGTTGCACTATCAATCAAACAA